CCCACCACACCACTAACAGTGTGCCCAAGATCTTGCACCACACCACTAACAGTGTGCCCGGGATCTTGCACCACACCACTAACAGTGTTAAAGACACTTCCTGCTACATTGTTCACACCGGTCAAAAGTTTGGTGTAGCTGTGATAGGTTGTGAGACAATTGTCAATGGCAACACAGTTGTCAAAGGATTGAAGGCTGGGATAAAAGTTACAAGTGCATTTAGGAAGGACACAAAGAACAATGAGAATAAGATGAGACCTTGAACAAGAATGGTTCAATAGTTTCTTTACAAATGTTTACCGCTAAGATCAAAACGGGCAGCAACATGCTTAACGCCCAGGCAGTAATTGGCATGGGGGTGTTGGGTTTTTTGGATCCGGGCGGTAAATGGTGGTTTCCTTTTATTATACAAAGTAATGATTGAGTTCACTTTGGAAAACAAAGCCTCTCCAGCAAAATTTTGATATCTATGGTTTAACCAAAAACTGCTGTATTGAAATCTATCTTAAGCATCTTAAGGGTGCATTCACTCAAGCAAATTCTGATGAGAATTCACATTCTACAAAATATTGTTTTGATAATGATCACCAAATAGGAGGCAAACAAATCAAAATGTGTCACATCCAGAGAATTGGTCTTACAATTCGAGATGATCAAAATTATAGGATTGATCTCCAACACAATGGTTTTCTCAAACTTCCAGATATGTTTATTTGCTCAAGACTGCAAGTTAGGGACCTTGCAAAAGATATTCAATATCTGGAACCACTCTCATAGACCCAATCCAACACAATCATCAGGAGCTCAGCACCTACATGAACACTATTTGCTCAAATGCTTTGGGTGAATTTTCTGATGACAGAGGGTTAGGGGGTAAATAATGAGCTCTCAACTTCAAGCCTGAATTGATAAAAGGCTTTAAATCTCATGAAGTTCAACAATATGTTGCAAATTATTTCACAAGCATTGATCACATGTGCCATATCTTTTTTTCCTACAGATCAAATATCCTTCATGTCAACTTTGACAGAATTTCAAGCCAAACTTTCCTCAATCAATTACTCACTGAATTAAAGCATCTATTTCAATGATTGAGACAGTTTGAAGCCATTGACCCTGAAAATTCTTTTCAATTTCCAGTGTTCAATAAGCCACAATCTGGTCTGTGTTGCACTTCCAAAAAAAGTGAAGAAGCATGTGTTCCAAGCTTGCAAAGTTCAGATGTTTGTTTTCAGACTATTCATATGAAGTTCACAAAGTCCAAAAATGAGTATAATCATGCTCATTAGTGTGCTACTCCTTTTGGAAATGTAAAACCTCGAATGGTGGTATGCTTTGCTCTGAATTGGCATCCATTCTTGCCTTCATTGGGTAGCTTGGATCACATTGGAAATGTTGAGAAGCTACAGTGTTCTCAGAGTTTGAAATGGCGGCGCCCGCCGCCCAATTGGCTAGTGTTCTCATAAACGAGGAATAAACATCTCGATTTTCCAACAAGTACTCCGATCCAGAGATTGTCTTGACGGGAAAAGGACCACATAAATCTGCCACAACAAGCTGAAGAGGAGCATCGTAAGAGATAAGTGATGGGCCTATCGTCGATGTCTTAGTCGATTTTGCTACAGCGCAGTCTTCACAAGAGGTAGTTTTGGTTAGCTTTTCTGGTAAACCAACACATGATTGTTCACGGACGAGCTTGAGAAGGGTTCGGTCATTTGGATGACCTAACCGGCGATGCCACAGCATAAAATCGCCCAGAACAGCAGCAGTCGTTACGTTGGTTTCAATGGCTCTCAAAATCCATCTTCTGCCTGAACGCTGTGCTGTGATTACTCTTGAATTGTTCTTCCAGAGTTCGATTCCATTAGTTGAGTTTCGAAAGGAAATGCCTTCTTCTTCCAATTGAATGCCTGAAAGAAGATTATGGCGCAAGTTCTCACAAAAATACACATGATTGACGGTCAAAAACTCTTTCGAGTTCGCTACATTGCATATACGGACAGTACCAACAGCTGTGATAAAAGAAGATCTGGAATCATTTGCCATTTTAACTGGTAGTGGATTGATATCGCGTATTGTTGTGAAATGAGACCGGTTATTGAATACATGGTGTGTTGCGCCAGTGTCAAAAATAATAATGGACGGGTCGAGGTCAGTATCAAGTTGAGAAACCGTGATGTGTCTGATGTCCACGCACCCAGAGAAATCGATGTCAGCAAATTGTGGCTCCACAACTCGTGCATCCGATGTCGAAGCAACTCCTCCTGATTGCTCCTTAGCCTTCTTGGCTCTGCAAGCCTCCTCCTTATGTCCACGCTTTTTACAAAAGTGACATTTAATCCTCGACGAGTCAAACTTCTTCTTCACCACAACGTTCATGCCTTCAGCTACACCTGATGAACCACGCTTGAATGCAACATCTGCCGCCCCTATAGCCCAAGTCATATTTGATGATCCAATGACTGCTTGAGGGTTCGACCGTATGAGTAACGTCCGGGAAACCGTTGGGCATACTATTCGCTAGTATCGCCGCAAAATCATCGTCATTCGTCATCATTCCGGAGCGTTCAAGTTTTCTTCGGATGCCTGAAACCTTGGCGATATGATTGTCGATAGAGTCAGATGAAGGATCATACTTGGTCGTGTGTAAGTCATTATGAAGAGAGATCCTGCTAGCATAAGTCTGGCCAGAGAATTGAGCTCTCAAATAACCGTAGCGTTCTGATGGTATGTTCGAAACTTGATTCAAGCGTAAGCTGAGTTGCTTATCCATAGTCCAATGCATTAGAGATATGACGCCTTCCGCATAGTCTGGATTCCAGCCGAACTGAGTAGGTAAGACTCCCTGTTGTAGGTACGGTGGACATCCTGGGTAGTGCATAAGCAGGCGTCAAAAATCTGCATCCAAACATCGAAATTCGATCCGTCAGCCGCTAGAATAGCCAGTCAATCCAATTTGATCGGACACGCTTTCCAAAGTGCAGCAAAAGACGTGTCATTGGTAAGTGTTGCTGGTGCAGTCTGAAAGATGTTGGTCACATTTGATACATTCGTTTGTTCTTGGACATTCGTTTGATTATTCTGAAGATTTAAAGTTCGCTGAAGATTATCGGACGGAGGTTGTTGTTGTTGATTGTTAATCAATTGGCCATCACCTGCATTATGCGCGGTGGGTTCGACACCTTCCATGTTATTCGGATGGTTCGAATGGTCGTTGTTATCGGTTTCAGTTAGTTCTTCGATACGTGAGTTTCTCGGAAGAGTGATGTCTGAACCCGTGTTTGCTGTTTCAAAAGATGTGTCGTCGTCTATTCCGTCTGGTAACGTAAAGCTCATAACCTGTAGAGCGGGAACGAACTAGAAGATCTAGTGTTAGTGTAAAGCAGCGAAACAAACAAACAATTGTGACATTTCATATATAAGAAGAAAAGAGAAATACCTAGAAGATCTAGTGTTAGTGTAAAGCACCAAAACAAACAAACAATTGTGACGGAGAAAAGAGCTAAACAACTAGTAGGTAAAACATGTTTTATATATGAAACACGTTTCGCGTGGCGTTACAACTCTGACGCAAACAATGAGAAAAGAAACCAGTCCATTCCTAAATCTTCCTACTTCTTCCAGCTAGTCTAAACCGAAAATAGGTGAGACAACGCCTTGTGCCTTGCCGTCTACGACGCCAGGCCAGTCCGGGCGTTAACAGTCTTGTCTTGTCTTGACTTGTATTGTATTGTATTGTATTGTATTGTATTGTATTGTCTTGTCTTGTATTGTCTTGTCTTGTATTGTCTTGTCTTGTATTGTCTTGTCTTGTCTTGTCTTGTATTGTATTGTATTGTATTGTATTGTATTGTATTGTATTGTATTGTATTGTATTGTATTGTATTGTATTGTATTGTATTGTATTGTATTGTATTGTATTGTATTGTATTGTATTGTATTGTATTGTATTGTATTGTATTGTATTGTATTGTATTGTATTGTATGTCTCGTCTTGTCTTGCCTTGTGTTTTTTTGTATTGTATAATCAAGTTCAAAACCCAATTGAGCAAATTTGTGGTGTCCAAGTCCGCAACTTTTCTCAATCAAGGATTTCATTCACATCTGGTTCACAGGTTTCTCTTGAGCTGTACTCTCCCTTGTACACAATCAAATTTCAATTTGTTCATGTTGAGCTCCGTTCTTTGTTGATTGATCATATGTATCACAAACCAAGATCATATCTTCCATCACACTTTTCACCAATTCTCTGTCCATATTTTGGCTTGGATATACAAAAATTCAAGGACTCCTCGGATTTTGTATCGAAGTTGTCATCCGACACACCACCGACCTCATCCACGCCACACAACGACCTGACTTTGAGGATCCGACAATGAGGCGAGGAAACTCTACATTGAGATATCAACCAACTCAATCAACTGACTCTTCACCAACTTATTCACCTCATCCAACCCAATACCACTGACCCATTAAGTGACCAACGATTTTGATTTTCAAAGTATCAAGGTAAGTAAACTCAATATCAAGTCGAATCACATAGTCACTTTTCTTGGCAGGAACAGTTTTACCAGACCTGATCCCCCCTTCATCTGAGCTTTTATCTCTCACTAGTGCAATCTGGCAGTGGGCGCCGCGCTATCCAACTTTGGGACATCTTGATCTGTGATAAGGTAATACATGAGTGTTGTGATAGTGGTATAGCTCATAAACCTATATCACATGCCAATACACACAAATATAGCTATGATGCTGCTACATAGGTGTCAAGCTATCTTATGTTTCAAGAAATTCTTACAGTGACCACAGCACCCAGGCATGAATTATGAGCAAAAGATCATTAAAGATTGATATAGCAGTTGAATTAGTAACTTTACTCGCACCGTGACACATACAAAACACACAACGTAGATACGTAAGATCTTATACATTAGGTAGATCCATACAGCACTGACATTATACTTGGGGGTTTCACACCGATACTAACTTAAGATCTATGTTCAAACCATGTACCATCCATGGGCCATTGCCTCCATTTTGGGATTACTATAATTTTTCAAATCCATTTTCCAAATCACTTTCAAGTTCCTCAATAAAGTTCTGTTGACAGGGGGTTCGGATGTTGCGTCAGGACCTGATTGTAATTCAATGTGATCATAGTGAACGGTACTTACAATAACATCATTATGTGATAACTCTGGCCTAAAATGGCAATTAACTTTGTGACTGTTGAACAACGCTACCAGCTCCGGGTCTTGTGTAGATCGGCCGTCCCAAGTAATGAATACAACATGTTTGAGACTGGCGCATCCCTCATCATTGAGCGTTCATCTGTCAAGGCTTTCTTCCAATAAGTTCTGGTATTGAAATAACTGGTGATGATGACCTCGACTTTTGAAAAGATGGGAAAACGGAGGAAAACTGGCTGATGGTTTGAAGGATCGAAGTACAGAGAACGTATAACTCTGAGATTTGGCAGTGTAAACATACAAACATAATCTTGGATAGAGGTAGGAATAGTATGGACAAAGAGGCCCTGCAAAGTGTCCACCAACTCCAGTATTGTTGTTGCTGTATGCTCAGCCAGGCTTGATGATGAATACTCTAACAACTTGATACCATGGCCTACTGTTTGACAGAAGTGGTCGATAGCATTGACGTTCTGGCAATGAGTTGCCACCCATAAATGATTTAAATTGGGCATTGAACCAGGTTCTAGGTTCAAAGACTTGAGAGTAGCAAAGTTCAATGTCAGAGACTCTAATGAGGGTAAGTTACACAACACAGACGTTACAGAGTCGGAGTCATTCATGATGTTGTGGTGTTGATTTCCCTGAATATTCAATATCTTCAATCTGTTCATATTTGTAAATGCAGCTAACATATCACCAGAAAACCCAACCAAGTAAGTGAAGTTTATTTTCAATTCTTTCAAGTTAGATCCGCATATAGTAAGTAGGTCAGCCGTGTCTTGCATCAAAATCGATTTCAATTCGTTGTGTTGATGATTAAATTCAAGCTGTGCGCCGTTTCCGTTTAGATAGTCATCATATAAGTTCCCAAAAACTTCAGCAGGAAAAAATATGAGTCAATCCAAGCACAGTCGATGTAAGTGAAACACAGGTGATATTGCAATAGAGTTGAATCCAATCAGGAAGGTAGAGATTGTGGTGGGATTCAATCTCAAAGAGCCATAAACAAAAGACGGAATTGTGATTGACCAAGACCATCCGAGCAGACGTAAACCTAGCAATCGCTGGATCGATTTTCTATGTGGGAAAGGAGTGTCCGCACTGTTTGTTGTATCACCAGGAGTACATAGCATAGTTTCATGATAGAAGCCTATGATACGCTCTACAACCTCGATTGGAAGGGGTGGGGATGAAGGCATGGTTCGTTGATGGAAGGTATACAGAGATCAGTCAATCATGATAAGACCTTTTTATAGGCATATCGTGATACTCTTCACCACTTCCCACGGGCATGGGGTGGAGGAAACACATGATTTGGTTCACAAATCTTAGCTCTCAATTCTCAACAAATCATATGTTGCCGTTCACTGGGGAGATATATCCAGCGTTTGGCAAACTTAGCAAGAGCTTGAAACTCTACACATAACTGGTGTAGCAGCCGGGAGATGACATGGACTCAATATCTTTGTAGGTACATGTTCATCTGCTGATGCGTCAGGTACTTGTGTTTGATAGAGTGTTCTAATCACTATATCACGCTTAAGTAATGGCAAGCTGAGTATGCCGACTGAATCAATGCTTGTGTGCAACACTTGACCGAGCAACTTTTTGGGCTGTTTACCTGTATGATGAGGTAAATTGATATAAGATAGCAAGCCATTAATTTAGAGCAGAATGAAATAAGCTTGGATGACATACAAACATGAAGTTCGGCACTTGATTTGAGAATTGTAATACAAACATACAACACGCTGTATCAATCATGGAGGATGGGATGAAATACGATATTTTTGGTCTTGGCTTCGCCCACCTCTGATGTTATACATACCTGGACGTTTGCAGCACTTGTACAACGTGATAGGGCAACATACAATTGGCCATGAGAAAATACAGGACTGGGTAGCAAGACAGTCACCCTCTCCAAACTCTGGCCTTGCAACTTGTTTATAGTCATACAAAAAGTGGGCATCACAGGAAACTGATACCGGAAGAATGGGATGGGACAGTCCTGATTCCCATCGTGGTGCAGCTTGATCTTGGGAAGGCTGACAATCGTTCCCTTCATTTCGCCTGTGAGGATCCGGCATTGGAGTGTGTTTCGACCGCAATGAGTTATGAGCAGGCAGGCTCCGGTGCAGAGCCCATCACCAAGGTTTAAGTTGTGAATAAGCATGACAGGCGCGCCTACCTTGATTTTGAGCACATGGGTAGGGAAGCCAGGGAAGTTGAACAAGTTTAAAATGGTTGGTGTGACTTGATCTATAAAGGCTTTGTCCATCATGTTGATGGAAGTCGAAGTGTGATATTGACCGGGCAGTGAATCCATGACATTATCGTTAACCATTTGAACAGTGGCGTTTAAAGGTGTTATCACACACCTGCTGGAGTAAAGGTTGGTCAAGTTCTCCCAATCTCGGTAAGTAATTAAATCAGATGCCCCCCCATACTCGTTGTTCATCATGTTGAGGGGGCAAATGCAAGGTGGAGGCACAACAGCAACATTGCAATGTGAGATTGTGGTGATCGCAGTGTGCTCCCACCTTACATACTTTACATACAACACATACAATACAATACAATACAATACAATACAATACAACTAGCCCAATCAGCGGCGGGCGCCGCACAGCTCTTGCTCTTCCACTTAAACACTTCCTGATCTTCAGTACATTATAAAAAACCATACAGGTGCCATACATGGTCAGCTTGCATGATTGATCTTTCCTCCCTTAAAGCAGTAGCCGTGTGATTACCTTGCATATGTTTACTTTGTCTCCAACATGGACTCTAAATTTATAAATTTTTGTCTCATGGACTCCCATTTACAGGAATATTTGTACCAACTCAAACCCACTCACACTGCAGACATTATTCGGGTTCCCCAAGTGGGCAGGGAAAAATGATTGGGAGTATGATTTGTCATAAAATGGTCTATCACTCCACACCTGAGCCATAACACCCACACTACATATGTGTAGCAGGCTCAGTGAATATGTGGTTATCATGTACATACAGTTCTGCTCAGTTATCTGCTCATCAGGACAAGTTATTCATATGTAATACATGCTGTAACTTCTTTCAGATTGAAAAAAGCTTCCAAAAGATTGACTACATACACTGACTCAATGTTTTGGTGTGATCTCATCAACTCAACTGCATGTAACACACTTTCTGTTACTAAGACATAGCTTCAACAATATTGCCTGAGCAGCTACAGAATTATATGTAGTGAATTTTTGGGAAAAAAATTTCAAAGTCAAAAAAGTTACATGTGGTATAACATGTGATTTATTTATTCTGATGGGCAAAAAACTGAGCAGACCTGTATGTACATGATAGACAACTATTGACTTAGCTTGCTGCACATATGTAGTGTGGGTGAAATGGCCCAGGTGTGCAGTATTAGATTCTTTTATGAAAAACTGTACTATTAATCATTTTCCTCTGCCAAATTGGGGAAGTTGAATGATGTTTACAGTGTCAGTGACACTGTGTTCTCAAAAATCATGTGACACTTTCACATTGTGAAACCCAACCCCTGTGTTGTTTGCACTGGAGGCCAACACAAGCAAACTAAATTGATAGTAAATGCAACAAAACAGGTCTTGATTTTTCTATCTGATGTGACTATGATTGCTCTTGTGTTTTACAACTCATGTACATGCAAACATCATCATCTCCTACAAAGAATGAATTAACCTGAAACCATTTCAGCTGTATTGATTATCAGATTTGGTTATTATATCCTGCAGGAGGTCAATTCAGATTGTTGGAGATGATTTGTTGGTCTGAGAAAACCGTGAGGTTGCTTACCAAAGATTCCTAATATCCACATTGACATCTGCAATGAGACTTTATTCCGCAAGCTCCAAAATTCCTGACTAAGACTGGATCTTCTACTTGAACATTGTGCGCGAGGAAGACAATGTGTCCAACCAACAGGTGTTGCTAAAGCAGGTCCACTCAGACCTCTCAGCATCTGGTGTCACTGATTAGCCTGTGATCAGAATCTCCATGTTTTGGAAGGTCTTCAATCACAGCTAGTTGAGGTCTTTGCATGGACCATTTGACCTGAGAGCTCAAATAACCCAAAGTTGTGGGAAGTTCCTATTGGAAATGTTGATCAGAACAGCATCAGGAACTAACTGCACAAACAAAATCTCAAGTGAATTTAGAATGGCCAAGCCCATTGAGCCTGTTTGTTGATGATCATTGTGCAGCACATACTCAAGACTTTTGATCCCTTTCCACTGATTCTGGAAAATGTTCAAATTGGTGTTGTAACTACACATTGCACATTACAGACAAATGTGTAAGGAGAGGGAGTAATCCCAGATTTTGATCCAACCAACATAAGAAACCAGGATAGATAATGATCAAGACTTGGTTGTAGAATCAAGCAAATTCTTCAACAACTCCAGTTTGTTTATACCACTACTTCCAGGTCTTCCAATGACACTTAATACTTTGGGATAATTCTCAAGCCAGTCCCCGGATCCATACTTCAATCAAATTGATAGTTAAACTTGAAATGATCTTTGATACCATTCTACCAGCACAATCTAGTAAAAGTTTCCCTCCAAATTCATATTTCTCAATCAAATTTAGTAAGATTTACCAGTCAATCTACAAACTTCTTGACTTTCAGATTTACTTAATTCTCCCAATAATTTCATAGAGACATGATTTTTAAATATCGAATTAGAGATCCATTGATATACTTCTTCATCTTCTATTACAATTAATCCATGTTCATCAATTTCATCATTTTTGTTTTGTTTAGGTTGGTTCTATTGAGTTGCTGATTTGTGTAATCTTTCAGTGACTTGATCTTCTTCTGATTGAATTTCTTTAAAAGATGACAATTTTTTTAAAATTGTTGCAATTCCATAAGCAATTAAAGTATCCATTCACATTGACCATCTTGATTTTGATTTGTAGCTTTTTGAGAAATCGCTTCATGAATCTTCTTGAACATACAATCTTGATTTGAAGTTGAACGTTTTCTAAAAAATCCTTTTTCACTAACTATGTAAAGCTGATCCTTCAACAATAAACCCTAAATCATCAATTTGAATTGAATCCATCAATTAAAGTCCTAATTAATTTTCCAATTGTAGGAAGATCTTCATCATTTAAAGGTCCTTCATTAACTTTTTCAGTAGCAGCGATTTGTAATTTAATTGAAGCTAAAGAAGCCGCAAACCTAATCAGATGAAATACATAATACTTGATTTTTGAAAGAGCTAGAGATGTAGGATATTGATGATCATTTGACCATTCAATGCGGATCAATTCTCTAATCAATTTATGATTAGTAGCTAAAGCCAAAAACCCAGAGATTTCAAAATCAATATTAAATTCAGTTGATTTTGAAAGGTTTGATTTCGATTTTGACTTTGAAGAAGAAATGTTAAATAAATCGATTAAATGATCTAATCGATTGATCACATGATTTTTAGAAGCCAATTTGAGTCCTAAATTAGGAGAGATTTGAATTGAACTTGAACAACTTGAAGCAATACAACAATCTGAAAGATTAACAGAATCTAATAAATTTGAAATTGAATTTGATACAATAGTGGTAGATTGATCGGATGGGTTTAAGAGTAAGATTGCTAATGCATCGTTTGATTTGAATTTGATCGAGGTGTGGGATGAAGCTAATGATACAATCAGATTATGTATGATTCCTTTTGAATACTTTGAAGGATTGTCTATGATAGATTGGATTCTTTTGTGCTTGGATCGTTTGTAGAAACCCAGAAGAGGAATTCAGTAAGCTTAATTGAAAATCTTTCAAGAATTCCTATTGATCAGTTTGACTTACTTTTAATTAAGAAGATCTTTCTGAAGATAAGTTGGAATGGGAAGTGATTTCAATTTTGAGAAATCAGTGAAATCCATCAACATCAGCCTTCAGTGATTTGAAGTGAACTCGAGCTCGAATAAAACCGAGGTTGTAGGCTTGGCAATCCACTCGCAATCCGATCAAAACAATCTTCCATTCTTCTAACCAACCCGCTCCGGCATTTTCTGACAATGGAGACTCTAGTAGACCATTCATTACCATCATCATACATTCTCCTACTCAAAGCCCGAGCCGAGCTGCTGTATTTGACTAACGTTCTTTGTTTGTACCGAATTCACATGTTTCCTTTGGAGCACGTTTGGTAGGTGCAAATTGAGCTAATGAGGA